CACAGTAACACATCACCTTCAAGCAGAAGTAGCATTCATAATATAAGCTTAAATTGGCCTTAGCAATACAAGTCAATTGTAAACAAATGTGACTCATATTCATAGCCTGTACCTATGGCTCAGGAGAAAAATTTTTTTTTCTTAACCAAACGATTAGGGAAGATATGATACTATAGGACATACTGGCACCTGTTGGAAATGGACTACTAAGGCTTTATATCTTTTCAAATAGGGAAAATTCTGTTATGTACCATATTGATTCACTTTTTTTGGATGTAGACACTACCTGTGATACTGATTTATGTAAATTTATGGGTGATGAATAGTGTTTAGGCTGAATAGCCTATTTGCTAGTTTATACAAATATGTTGATATAATTTATGAGCCATTAAGATCTGTTTACCAGGTGATTGCATAATTGAGTAGCAAATGGCATTAGTTGATATCAGGTCTTGCAAGAATTTTTATGCAGGACCAGTGCCGTAGCATAGTGGGTAAGTCGCTGCTTGCAGTGCTGGCATTCCTGTGTGATCACCAGTTCAAGTTCCAGCTGCTCCACTTCCAATCCAGCTTCCTACTGATGTGCCAGGGAAAGCAGTGGAAGATAGTCCAAGTCCTTGGGCCCTTGCACCCACATGGGAGACTCAGAAGAAGCTCCTGGCTCCTGGCTTCAGAGCAGCCCAGATCTGGCCATTCAGGGAGTGAACCAGAGGATGGAAGAACAATCTCTCTCTTCCTCGCTTGCTCTCTCTGCTTCTGCCTCCCTTTAACTCTGCCTTTCAAATAAATAAATCTTCTAAAAAAAGAATTTTTATGCATAATAATTAAATGTTATTTTGTATTAGTATTTGAATTTGTTCATTTGTTCCATATACATTTATACTTATTATGAGCATAATGATAATGCTTAGTTTCTGCTATTCATTCTGGCATAACAGACAATATTTATTGAAATATTAAAATATAAATATTACATAAAATATAAACATAGAGGTTAATAAATTTAAAAAAATACCCAGTGCTCTTAGTGAAGTGAACAGGAGATTTGTTAGCAATATGTGCATTTGTTTGGTCATGGCTCAGCCCCCTTTCCTTAATGGTAACCATTATTCTGACTTTTAAGATATTTATTTTGTTGGTTTCTTTTATATTTTTACTATCTAGTCATATATTCCTAAACAGTATATTCTTTTTACAATTTTATTTATTTAAATTTGAGAGGTAGAGTTACAGAGAGAGAAGGAGAGACAGAAAGAAAGAACTTCCATCCACTGGTGCACTCTCCAAATGGCTGCCATGGCCAGAGCTGAGCTGAACCGAAGCCAGGAGCCAGGAACATCTTCCAGGTCTCCCTTTGCAGGTGCTGGGGTCCAAGCACTTGGGCCATCTTCCACTGCTTTCCCAAGCCATAAGCAGAGAGCTGAATTGAAAGAGAAGCAGCAGGGTCATGAACCGGCACCCATATAGGATGCTGGTGCCATAGGCAGAGACAGCCTGCCACATTGTAGCGCTGACCCCTAAACAATATATTTCTATTCTGCTACATTTTGAGCTTTATGTTAATAGTAGCATATACTGTATATCCTGTTATGTCTGACCTTTTCTATGTAGCTTTGTTTCTAAGATTAATTTTTTCATGTATTTATAGTCCATTTTAATTATCATATAATGTTCCATTTATTTTATTAATTATATTTATTATTGCTTTCCTGGGTGCACATTAGCAGGAAGCTGAAATTGGGAGTAGATCTGATACTTGAAACCAGATATTCTTGATATTGACTGCAGGCTCTCTAAGTAGCATCATAAGTGCTGAACCAACCACTATTCTCCTTTGTTCATTTTCAGTAATATCTTGGATAATTTAGTCCTTTACTTTTCATATTAATTTTGGAATCAGCTTGTGACTCAAACCAGTCCATTGGGATTTAAATTATTATGTTGAATTTGTAGGTCAATATTGGTGATCTGACTTTTTATAATACTGAGTTTTCCAATCTGTAAATATGGTATGTATCTCCATTTAATGAAATATTCTTTGATTACTCTCATTAAAATTTTGTAGTTTTTTTCATAAAAATCTTATGTATGTTTTGTGGATTTAATTTTTACAACTTACAGTATGTTTGCAGAACATATTACAGTGTGTGGCAGTATCACTGGGAAATTAAGAGTGTGAACTCTGGAACCACTTTGCAAGAGTGATATTTGGCAATATCCTGAAATTCCCTGTGCCTCTATTTCCATCTGTGAAATAGAGAATGTAATTGTAACTTCCTCACAGAGTTACTGTGAGATAAAATATGTCATATCTTTACCAGATTTAGAGCATGACACACACCTGATCAAAAGAAATAAATGTTTATTTGTACAAATATACAATTGTTAATTACTTTATATATTTTTTAATTCTTTTAGATTACTAGTGGAGTTTTTAAAATTTCATATAAGTCTTAGAGTTTTGATTATTCCATGGTGTATATTTAACTTAAATTCATAAATGAATAGAGGATGACTTCACATCTCTATGATAATTAATCTCACTTCCTTTAGGTACTGTGTCTTGTTTTTGAAATCTTTACATTCTTCTCATTCTTCAATTGCATATTATACCTTTCTTCATATCGGCCATATGCTTTACATATTGTTTATTATCACCTTAAATTTTTGTTATTAATTATTATATGGTATATTTTAATTTAAATATTTAAACTTATTATTTAAATAAAATAATTTTTATTTTTTTAATTTTGTTAATGAGATCTCTTTTTCCATGGTCATATTTTAATTGGTCATTGCATGTATAAATAAACTTATTGAAAATTTTTAAGTGATCACTGTATATAATTCTCATATGCATACACACGCACACACACATACACACACACACACCCATTTCCGGAGAAAGAAAAAGAATGAGTAGAGTGGAATGTCATCCATTGCTTTTGTAAAGGATCAGTTTCAGGACACCTAGAGGATACCAAAACCTGTGGATGATCAAGTCTCTATGGTCTAGCATTTGTAGGTAGCCTAGGCAATTCATCTGTATACTTTCAATGATCTGTAGATTACTCGTGATTCATAATACAATGTAAATGTTAGATTGTGTAATAATGACAAAAAAGTCTGCTATGTGTAAAATATGTGCAATTTTGTCCCAACTATTTTCAGTCCAAGGTTAGTTGAATCCACAGATGCAGAACCTACAAATACAGAGGGGCAACTGTGTGTGTGTGTATGTTCATGAGGACACTGCAAAAGTTCATATAAAATAAAATTTAAAGACAAGTTTATTTTGGTGCAGAAAATTTTGAAATCTCTGCTTGTGAGGGACATTCAAAAAGTTCTTGAAAATGCATTTTATGAAAATACTATGCATGAATTTCAAATTTCTTTGTACTATAACAAACTTTTTATTATATTTTCCACATTCTTTTGAAGTATCCTTGTATATGTTTTCTCATATAATTTCTGATTTGTCCTGGTCAATCAAATCACAGCACCATACATTTAGTTGCTTAGGTATTAACCTTGGAGTTTATAGTGATTCTGGAGCCAGGATTGTTGGGCAACAGGTTAAACCACAAATTGTGACACTTGCAGCCCATATAAAAGTACTGTTTCCAGTCCTGGATACTCCCCTTGTGATCTAATCTCCCAATAATGTGTCTCAGGTCAGCAGAAGATAACCCAAGGATTTGGGCCATCTTCCACTGCTTTCCCAGGCATAGCAGAGAGCTAAATTGGAAATGGAGTAGCAGTGACTCGAACTGGCACCCACATGGGATGCCAGCACTGTAGGCAGCAGCTTTACCCGCTAAGCCACAGCGCAAGCACCCTAAATATATTTTAATACCTGATAGTGTTATACCTCCTCTCAGGAATGTTTACTGCTCTGCTGGAGAACAACTTGTTTGTTTCTTTTTGTTCCCCTTTTGTTTTAATGACTTGGTCTTTTCTTACTGGATACTCCAATTGTTGGTTGGTTGGTTTCTCTCTTTCTTTCCTTCCTTCCTTTCTCCATTAACTTTTTCTTTTTTTTCAGATTTTAAAAATTTATTTGAGAGGTAGTGTTAGAGAAAGGTCTTCCATCCACTGGTTCATTCCCCAGAGCTGGGCCTGTCTGAAGCCAGGAGCCAGGAGCTGCTGCTTCTTAGTCTCCCACATGGGCGCAGGGGCCCAAGTGCTTGGGCCATCTTCTGCTACTTTCCCAGGCCATAGCAGAGAGCTGGACTAAAAGAGGAGCACCTGGGACCAGAACCAGAGCCCATCTGGGATGTTTGCACCACAGGCAGAGGATTAACCTACTGCACCACAGCACCAGCCCCTCCATTAACTTTGTCAGGCTCCATCTTGACAATGACTCTTTTGGTTCACTTTATCCAGAAGCATATTGCTTACTTTCTACGCTCAAATTGTGGCTTCTTTTCTCTCTGAAAAAATTTCTTGACTAATATATTGAAAGTGTGTGCTATTAAATTATTTCAGTTCTCTCTTAAAGAAAGTAATAATTTAACTATTTCAATATAGGACAGAATCCGGTGCCCCGACCGGGACTAGAACCTGGTGGTGATGGAATTTATCAGTGTGCTTAAGTGTTCTCAGTTTGGTCTTACAATGGATATTTTTACTTAATGAACATTTCCTGTATTGGTAGTGAAATTATGATTCTCCTATTCCTTTTTTAATTAATTGTTGAAAGAAAAATTCTAGTAATTTGCAGTTTCAATGGATTGATTTCTTAATGTTCGATGCATTTTTAGGTGGAAGTTGAGAAGCAAATAAGCTAGTATTCATATAGTTTTAGATAAAATTGTAAAAATCTAGATAAAATATTTCATTAAATGATTAAAAATATATCTGAATACCTCTGTGATCTTTGCTATGAGGTTTATATTCATAGTTCTGTGTGTAAGTATTACTTTGAGACCTAAAGAGTGTGTCTGTACTTTTTTGAACATGTTTTTCACAATCTGCTTTTATTTTTCCTGTTCATATAGGTTATTAAATGTGATATGCTGTGATCTGGACACTCTTCTCTTATTAGAGGCTCAGTATCAAGTATCTAAAATGTTATTAAACGCACAAGAAGAAAATACATTAGAGACTTCCGAGACTCACAGGTAAAGAAAAAGGGGGAGATGTTAAAAAATGATAACAGTTTTCCTTACAGATGCTTTAAGGTAGTGATTTTGTATGCAATTTGTTAAATATTTTTCCATTACCTAAATTCAATAGATTTAAATACCAGAGTAAAAAAGCAATTAAAACATAATGTCACAGAAAAATGACAGCTGTTTTTGGAGAGGGGTACCTTTAAAGTGATTGCTTTTGTCTTATTTGGGTTTTCTATTTTTTTAGTTTTTAGTTAAATCCAGATTTTATTAATGGTTCTATAAAATTGTGACACTTTTACATTTATATTGCATGTGTAAGATGACCCATAGAATAAAACACTTGATTCTGTGTCTCTCATAGAGGCTTTCCTTACTGCATTCTATTCATTATGTTAGTGCACACTCTTAAATTCTGATTATTTTCAATATGAGGTTATGGGTAATGTTATATATTAATATTAGCCATCGCAAAACACACCGGACGCCGGAGTAAGGGAAAGGGTTTATTGGGGAACACCCAACAGACCGGATTGAAGGGGTGGCGAAGGTAAAAGAGGAGACTATAAGAGAGAAAGACAGAGAGGAGGGAGAAGAGAGACGAGAGGAGGAAACTAGAGAGCAAAACCAAGAGAGAAGAGTCAAGAGACCAGAGGAGGAGGCTAGAGAGGAACCGAGAGAGCACATGAGAGAAGGGCCAAGAGAGCACGTGTTCAGGAACAGGCCCTTTTAAAACTTTGCCGGAGGGCTGGCAGGGAAGCAGGAGCAGCGAATCTCATTAGGATAGGGGTGGAGCCTGGCTCAGGTAGCTGGGCCATGTGGCCACCTGGCTAAAACTGTGCCAGTTTCCTAACAGGTAATATTTTGATAATTTTTTTTATTAATAAGTCAAACTTGCTGTTACCTCTGTTTGGCTGATATTTATCCAGGACACATTCAGTAGCTGGCATTGCTTTCATTTTTGTAATTAAAAAAAAAAAAGTGGGGAGGCCTCCATCCAACTTAGTCCTTGGAATAATTATAGAGTTTATTATTTGATACTCTAGGTTTGATGTGGAAGGGAAGGATTAACAACTACAGAAAATATGGCTGCTCATAAGTAATATTCAGTTTTTAAATTTAAGGCACCAGGTCCATAACGTAAGAGAACTGTGACTATAATGGTTAAAGTCATTGTAGAAATATTTAATTTTTCGGCCAGCATTGTGGCGCAGTAGGGTAATTCTCTGCCTGCAGCTCTAGCATTCCATATGTTAATGTCCCAGAGGCTCCTCTTCTGATCCAGCTCTCTGCTATGGCCTGGGAAGGCAGAGGAAAATGGCCCAGGCACTTGGGCCCTTGCATGCACATGGGAGACCTGGACTCAGTTCCAGCCATTGTGGCCTTTTGGGGAGTGAAACAGGGGATGAATGACCCTTCTCTCTCTCTCTCTCTCTCTCTCTCTCTCTTTCTCTCCCCCTTGCACTGTCTATAACTTAACCTGTCAAATAAATGAATATAATCTTTTTTAAAAAAGAAATACTTCATGTCTTAATTCCCTTTAAGTGCAGTAGTATTCCCTAAGAAAATATTCTTACATCAATATTATTGTTTTCATTGTATCAGTTGTTATAAAATAAAAAAGCCATTTTTGTCTTATATATTTTAAATACACGTTAATAAACAATCAATTTTGCAAACATTTATCTCTTATTTTCATTTTGATTAAGTGTCAAGATTTAAAAATCAAATTATATTCAACTAAGGAGAAAGCAAATTGCTATGTTTGTTTTTCAGGGATTTTATCATTGATGCTTTGTCAGTAGAGAGAAACCATGTTCTTGTTAGAATAAGTCTTGTTGGTGGGCCATTGGAACGAATTTTGCCTCCAAGGATACTAGAGAAGGTGAGTGGGATAAAAAAGATAGGAAGGTGTTTTTCTATCATATTTTGTAGAGGTCACCTCAAGTGACCCTAAACAACATCACTTCCCAAGTGACTGTATGACAGAGATGAACTTTGGTTATTTGAGAAACTTTAGGATGCATATAAACATGTTCAAACTAAAATAGTGCTGTTGATGGCAAGGGGTCCTGAGTACTGGTTTGTGTAGCAGAGTAGGGTGTTGGTTTATTAAAAAGTTATCATTTCCCTGTGTGTCTTTGAATATTTTAATCCCAATGTCCTTGTCATTGGTGATACCTTTTATTATTAGGTGACACTTTTTCTTGTATTTCAGTGGCAATATTGAGCACTTCTTTTTCCTATCAATATGCATGATATGAGTTTCTTGTGGAGGCTGTTTTTTGTTATTTTTTTATGAATATTTTTGCTTGGACTGTCACTCTGGGGAAGATGAGACAGAAATAACAACACTAGAAAAACATTTTTGTGGGATAAAAGAAAATATAAATTTCTTTTGAAGATTACATTTTTCTTTCTTGAAAAAAATAGAAAAGACATCATCATTAGTCCTAGTTGCTGGAACAAGTTACCAAATATTTGATATTGGTGCTTCTTTAAGGTAGTTTCTGTTACATTTCTTTTTAATTATTAGGTACTGGAATTATTAATTGTAGTATCAAGTAACTTTTGATTATTTGGTCAACAACTCTAGAATTTATAAGCAAAACATCCATTTCAATATAGTAATACTTAAGGAGGTTTTAAAATTCATTGTTAAAGTATTCCCTAAAGTTATCTACTTTGCTTTTTTAGGGTGATGATCCATATCCATGGCCTATGTTTGCATCGTATCCTTTGCCAAAATGCTATCTGTCAGAGGCAAAAAGGAATGTTGACATAAAACTAGGTACATGATTTACTGTCAAATGCCATTTTAATTTATTTTATTTATTTATTTTAATGTTTTAAGCCTTTTATTCACTGAGAGAAATGCATAGGGGAGTGACATTCCTAGCTAAGAAGGAAAGGGCAATCTGGATTCATACCAAGCACCAGTGTGGGGAGCAGCCCGGACTGGACTGAGTTACTGGAATTAAGACTTATTCTATGCATCTGCTCTCCCACAATATGGCGCTGGGAGAGAAGTAAACAGCTTCCGCACAGCTGCCTCCAGTTCAACCAATAAACTGTAGGACTTGCTACTGATTGGAGGAGAGCAGCGTACTCGGCGTGTGGGCAGCCGAGTTAGGATTGGCGGAGGAGGACTATAAAGGAGGAGAGAGACGGCATGCACCAGGAACATCTACGGGGAACATCTAAGGGGAACACCTGTGCAGCCCCCGAGAGAGCCGGCCGGCAGTGTGCCGCTCCCCTGCGGAAGTGGGGAATGTGGCCAGGGGGAACTGCCCTTCCACGGAGGTGGAAGGGATAGTAGCCAACCCGGGAAGAACCAGCAGCAAACCCGGGGAGGGCCGAGCAGACAAAAGAACAGCGCAGGGTCCTGTGTCGTTCCTCCACGAAGAGGGGGAGCGACATAATGGTGCCGTGACTCGGATAGGAAGCCTAGGCAGGACTTAGTGTCGTTCCTCCACGAAGAGGGGGAGCGACAACCAGGAGCCAGCCATGTGGAGGAGAATGTAAGCCAGGAAGCATGGGGCGGGTAGCCCAAAGACCAAGTGCCCTGTAGGTATGGGGCAGCAAGTGGGTCCAGGGCAAAAGGGAAAAAGGCAGGCCCCACTGTGTTTCAGGCCTTTAATCCGCTTCTGAAGGGGTATGGTTAATTAGTCTGATTGGCCAATGGGCAGGCACACAGATGTGGTCAGATAGGGACATGAGGTCACACAGGGGCTTAGTGAAGGTTGATTTTCCCGTTCACAAACCTAATCAATTTTATCCTGTATGTCTGCCTACAATATTCACCCCTTAGAGACTCCATTCCCTAATCCTAAGGGATGTTCCAGGGCATAGAATCATTATATCTTCTGTAGCTGCCTACTGCTTATGAGGGGCATAGTGCAGGCCCTGCCTGTCCTGGGTCTGAAAGTCTCTGCCTATCTTATCTAACAGATTTGTTTGTGAGCTGGAGCAGCTTGGTCACCACCAATATCTGTGCCCCCTGCATGGTCAGTTATTTCCAGAAGTCGAGCTCTGAAATATATGTTTTCCAATCAACATGAACAAAACTGGAATAAACCAATTGCAAATGGTGTGCCTCTTAAAATGGAAAGAGCATATCTAGCCATCTCCCAGATGGTAGGTTGTGATTGGCTACCCTTATGTTGATTATAAAACCCTTTTAGCTTGAACATAGAAAACTAAAATAGAAGAACCATTAGGTGTTTTATTGCCAATAACAGTTCCCAGAGAGAACCCAAAGAGGCAAGTACAGCATGTCTGCCTTAAGGCGCAGCAATCTTGATGTGAGGAAAGTAAAGGCTTTACTTATCTTTCTGCTTTGAAGAGGGACTTAAGGTCTCTGGCTTACAGGAATAGTCAGGCGTGTTTTTCGAGTTCACCTGTGAAGACGTAAGAGGTAGAAGTTTAATCCTAATTTCACTGAGGTAGCACTTGGTAAGGTTTCTTGGTAAGGCTCAGTAGCACTTGGTAAGGTTTCTTTCATTTAAGCTGCAACTGATCTAAAGAGCATCTTTCTATGAAAGGCTTGTTTAGGAATTTCTGATGTTGGAATTTTTGTCGAAAGCTCCCTAATTCCTTGGAACACCTACTGCAGCTTCCCTGTCCACAGTGTGTCTGTATCAGTGGCTTTTAAGCAAATACAAGGCATGCAATCCAAATCCTGGAATCCATATTTGATAGAATTCTGCCATCAGCAATTCCCAGTGTTGGAGCTTCTGTTAGAAGCTCCCTAATTCTTTGGAACAACTCTTGTAGCTATCCTGTCCAGCACAGTGTCTGCATCCGGGCCTCTTTAAAGCTATATACAAAAGCTTGGGATCCAAATCTTGGAATGCAAATTCCACAGAATCTTGCTGTTCCCAGAAATATCCTCGGCTGCCTTTCAAATATAGAATAGCTTTCCTTCTCTTGACTTTAAGAACACACTCTTCTGGAGTTAGAACATATCCCATGTAATCTATCTCTAGTTTAGAAACCTGAGCTTTGTTTGGGAAGTTCTGTATCCTCACTATCCCAGATTCTGGGTTTAGTGGGATGCAGAAGAAATTACCCCTTAGGCAAAGGTTTAGAACATGATAAGATGCATTGAATCAGCTGTCTTATTAGTAGTCCTGAGGCTTTTAACCATCTGTACTCTGTATCTGACCTTATGTTAAAACATAGGAGATAGGAATTTCACAGAGACATGGATCTAAGAGTTCATATTTTAAGGCACTTAACTTTGAAGAAACACCTAAGAATACAGACAGTGGAGTTTGACACTTAGACATAGAACTTATGATGCATAACAATATCACACACTAGGGCCGGCACCATGGCTCACTAGGCTAATCCTCCACCTGCGACACCGGCACCCCGGGTTCTAGTCCTGGTTGGGGCGCTGGATTCTGTCCCAGTTGCTCTTCTTCCAGTCCAGCGCTCTGCTGTGGCCTGGGAAGGCAGTGGAGGATGGCCCAGTTCCTTGGTCCCTGCACCTGCATGGGAGGCCAGGAAGAAGCACCTAGCTCCTGGCTTTGGATCGACGCAGCACACCGGCCGTAGTGGCCATTTGGGGGATGAACCAATGGAAGGAAGACCTTTCTCTCTGTCTCTCTCTCTCTCACTGTCTAACTCTGCCTGTCAAAAAAAAAAAAAAAAAAAAAAGAATATCACACACTAGAACAAAATAAACCTTTGGGATCAAGTTTTACCATTAATGTTAATACTGTAGCTGTTTGAGGACACAGGTCTGTTGGAGGACACAGGTCTTGCATGGGAAGTTAGTACACAGTGACTTCTGTTGTTAATTTAACAATTAACACTCTTGCGTATGATGTCAGTGATCACCTGAGGCTCTTGACATGAGCTGCCTAGGCTATGGAAACCTTTTTTGTAATCCACAAACTCTGTCAGTGTTTAGACAAGGCCATAAGCAAAGTGGAAGTACTCTCCTCCCTTCGGAGAAAAATACATCCTTCCTTGATGAGCACTTCTTTCCACTGGGGTTTCACCCAGGGAGGTCCTCCATGTAGGGACATGTTTTGTATGAGTGTCCTGGATTTCCATGCTCGAAACGCTCTTGTGGGCTTTTTAGGCAGAGCAGGATGCCTTTAGGACTGACTCTGAGGTCACTGAGTGCTACTTAGAACAATCGCCATTCTATGAGTCTGCTGTATTTACTGCTTCCCATGTTGGAATATTTACACCTCTTTAAATCTATTTATTATTATCAGTAAATACTTAATCCTATTGATATGATCACTTTAACAATCAATCCCACCTATATGATCACGTTAAAACTTAATCCAATCTACATGGTTGCTTTAAAACCCAGGATCTTACTTTCACCATCCAGCCCAAGGGGATTTGCGATCCCATGGCAAGTTTTAAACCGTACCTTTAGAAATAAGTCCGTAGGAATGCATGCAGAGCTATACAGCCTTACAGTTTCTTTGTAGGACTTGAGAAGATAAAAACAGACACAGCTCTTTACTGGCTTAATTATCCTTGAGCATTTGATACGGATACATTGGATTAGTTATAATTCTGACACCTGAGAGTTTCCAGTTGCATACTAAATGGGGTCCATTAATTTACCAAGCCCAATGAGGGCGGTTTAAATTTTTTTCTCCCACGAGGCTGTAGGCAGGTTCTCTGTGAGTGGCTGGGTCCCTGCACACACCCAGGTGGGCCTGCACTGGGAAGAGAGGGGTCCAGGGTTTTGGGCACCACCTCTGCTACCTTAGTTTCTGCCTCTGGCCCAGAAATGCACCTGAGTGACCACTGGAGTGATGGGACTCTGGCCTGCAGGGCAGGAGCAACCTGTGCTCTGTGATCCAGGTCCCCTACCCAAGCAGTGACCCAGCGCCTACGGCAGGCATGTTCTTCCCATTGGAGCTCCCTCCCCCAGGTGTGGCTGTGCGCCCAGGTTCGGCTCAGGAGAGCCACACAGGGTAGGTACAGATCAAGGATGGGTGAGGGTTTACAGTGCAGGAAGATGAAGAGGAATCGTGGGAAGCCAGCCTTTATCATGCTACCATAATTTCCTTTTAATAAATTTTGGGGAATTATTAAAGTCCCTTAAAGGTCTCAACAGTTTTAAAAGTTCCCACAGAGTTGCCATTTATGTTATCAGAGACATACCCCTTAGAAGTCCCACCTGGGGTACCAAATAATATTGGGGTATGGGATGCCATTTATGTTACCAGATGCATATTAAAAAATTTGGGGTCACAGCGCCATGGCTAACTTGGTTAATCCTCAGCCTGCGGCACCGACATTCCATATGGGCACTGATTCTAGTCCCGGCTGCTCTTCTTCTGGTCCAGCTCTCAGGAAAGCAGTGGAGGATGGCCCAAGTGCTCTGGCCCCTGCACCCGCATGGGAGAGGGGGAGGAGGTTCCTGGTTCCTGGCTTCTGATTGATTGTCGCAGTTCCAGCTGTTGCGGCCACTTGGGGAGTAAACCAATGGAAGGAAGACCTTTCTCTCTGTCTCTCTCACTGTCTGTAACTCTACCTGTCAAAAAAAAAAATGGAATATTAATAAGCCTGTGAGTTCCTGTCTAATATTCAGAGATGGATTCTGAATACTGGCACAAATAAATGAGGCATCGTAAGTTTTAAGCTTTTTATTCAGTGAGAGAAATGCATAGGAGAGTGAGGGCCCTATCTACAAGAGAGAGGAGACTCTGGATTCATACAGAGCACCAGTAGCCAGCCACGTGGAAGAGCATGTAGGCCAGGAAGCATAGGGCGGGTGTCCTGAAGGCCATGTGCCCCAAAGGTGCAGGAGCAGCAAGCAGGTCCAGAGCAAAAGGGAAAAAGCACCATTTTATTGTTAGCACTTTTGTTGTAATTTGAAAAAAAGAAAAATTGTTAAAGTAAATGAATATGATTTTTTTGTTCATTCCATGTACTTGATTGCATGTATGCCTCCATTTTGCATTATTTTTGTTTTTCTTACTAAGTTTTGTGTGAGTCCAGATAATTTTTATAAAAAAGATCTATTTATTTTCCTTGAAAGGCAGAGTTAAGGAAAGAGAGAGGCAGAGACAGAGAGACAGAGAGATCTTCTATCTGCTGATTCACTCCCCAAATGGCTGTATTGGCTGGAGCTGGGCCAGTCAAGCCAGGAGCCAGAAGCTTCTTGCAGGTTTCCCTCATGGGTGCAGGGGCCCAGGGACTTGGGCCATCTTCCACTGCTTTCCCAGGCACATTAACAGGGAGCTGTATCAGAAGTGGGGCAGTGAGGACTCAAACCAGCACCCATGTAGGATGCTGGTGCTGTAGTCAGGAACCTAACCTGCTACACCACAGTCCTGCCCCACCCCCCCGATAATTCTTATTTCTTGTGGCTAAGGTTTAACAAATATGTCCAGTACCAAGAGCTGCTTGATTAAAAAAAGCAGTAATGGTTTTTGATTTGTCAAAATAATTCTAAGTATATAGAAGTTTTATTTATTCAAGAGTGATTTTTAAAAAAAATTTTTAGTAACTGCTGTATGCCAAACACAAGTTTTGTGTCCTCAAGACATGAAGCACAATGAAAATTATGGTACCTTCCTTTGTGAAACCATGAAATTTCAGAAAATACAGTCACATAATTAAATAATTGTATTATGGTACAGTATGATAGATGTTGAAGAGAGTAACATATAGCCTACTAGAATAGTATATAAGCGGGATACCCTTGTAAACAAAGTTATGTACAAAAGGAGGCATGATGCTTAGGTATACATTTTCTGGATAATAGAAAAACATTTATGGCAGCACAGAGAGCATATTGGCTGGAAGCAACAAGTTATTTTCAGAAAACTGAATGGTAGAATGTCTGAAATTTGTAATGTGAAAGCAAGAGTGACTCGAGGCAAGAATAAACATGTAAGCCAAGTCCAGACATAAGACTGGTATAGTAAACACTCATATGTTTTGACTCCATCCTAAGAGCAATGAAAAGACAGTTTTTAGATTAGGAAATTCTGAGATAAATGTACAGATACATGATCAAACTCTTCATTAATTTGGGAAGTTAATCCTTAGGTCAACATGTTCTCCTCTATAATACTACCAAACTTTGGAAAGAACTATTATATATAAGATTAATTTCACAGTCATTGAATATACTTTCAAATCTAGACCTTGTGTTTCCTTCTTGCTTGACCTACTCTTTTGCCTTCAGAGATGTGCGAATGATATTAAGCTTTTTTCTGGAAGAGGCTTTCTAGATAGTTCCATTTTTTGAAACTTTCCCCACTGACACATCTTTCAGTGAATCCAAATATCAAAGTTTACCCTTAGACTTTTCCCTAAATACTTTTTATTAAATACTCTGGCCGGCGCCACGGCTCAATAGGCTAATCCTCTGCCTGCGGCCCTGGCACCCCGGGTTCTAGTCCTGGTTGAGGCGCCAGATTCTGTCCCAGTTGCCCCTCTTCCAGGCCAGCTCTCTGCTGTGGCCCGGGAGTGCAGTGGAGGATGGCCCAAGTGCTTGGGCCCTGCACCCGCATGGGAGACCAACAGCAGCACCTGGCTCCTGACTTCAGATCTGCACGATGCACCGGCTGCAGCGCGCCGGCCGCAGCAGCCATTGGAGGGTGAACCAACGGCAAAGGAAGACCTTTCTCTCTGTCTCTCTCTCTCACTGTCCACTCTGCCTGTCAAAAATAAATAAATAAATACTCTGTCTTTTAAATCAGAATTTTTATATTTTGCTATCCTTGTTTTAGGTTTTATTGTTTATACATCCATTAATTACACATTTGAGATATGAATACATTATATAATTGCTAAGACAAGTCAGTAGTATATACATCACCTTATATGCATGCCTTTTTGTGATCTAATATTTCAGATGCTTAAAATTACTTGTTTATTTTCAGCTATGTAATACATTTTTGTTAACTTTGTCTTCATGTTGTACAAACAGATTTGTTAAACTTACTCCTTTTATATAATAAATCTTGTATCAGTTGATCAATGTCTCTAATACCTTTGCCTCTAACTTCTGGTAACCAGTATTCAACGCTAAGCTTTTATGAGTTCAAATTCTTTAGATTCCTCATTTATGTGAAATCATTCATTATTTGTCTGTGTTGGCCTGGCTTCTTTTACCTTATACAACATACTCTAGAATCATCCATGTCATGATAGATGACAAAACTTTTTAAGGCTGAATTTCCTTTTTCTTTATTATTTTGTTTTGGTTTTTTGTTTTGTGGGGAGGAGAAGGAGTTATCTCCACTGGATCTTTCTATAAGCCAACTGCATGTTATTTGTTTTCTCATATTAAAAATGTTTACCTTAATTGTTTTTTTGTCCAATATTTAAAATATCTTAAGTTCACATTCCCCTCACTACACTCCTCTTTCTGTCCTCCTTTTGACTAAAAAATTCCTCAAAGGAGTTGTCCATACCTGGTGCTGGAGATTTTCTTTCCATTTTCTCTTGAACCCACTTGCATGCTAATCAGAATTTCATTTTTTATAAGATTTTATTTGAGAAGTAGAGTTACAGATAGAGAGAGGGAGAGACAGAAAAAAGGTCTTGCATACGTTGTTTCACTCCCCAGATGGCTGCGGTGGCTGGAGCTGAGCCGATTTGAAGCCAGGACTCATAAGCTTCTTCCAGGCCTCCCATGTGGGTGCAGGGGCCCAAGCACTTGGGTCATC